CAGGCTATAGGCGCCAGGTCCGCAGGCTATAGGCGCCAGGTCCGCAGACTATAGGCACCAGGTCCGCAGGCTATAGGCACCAGGTCCGCAGGCTATAGGCACCAGTCCTAGTTTCTCAGCCTTTCTCTGAAATATCCTAACTGCCCTGATGTATTAACTCCCTCTGTGTTCAATTCATATATGAACAGAATATAACATAAACTACTGTCCCCTCCCAAAAGCATCATTCCACATGTGAGGCAAATCCAACAATACTAATTCCCACTCTTAAACATTGTACCACAAAAGCTCAGTCCCTGCAGTCAGCCTGGCTATGGGAGCTGAGATGCACAGCCTGTGACGAATGCATGAAGAGGAGTAGATGTTCCACGTGGAGAACATTCAAACATCCTTCTGTTTTGGCTCAGTGCTGTGTAGTCTGGGGTCTCAGATTTGGCTTTAGTTTCTCCATGTTTAACTCCACCAATTAAGAGTAGGATTAACAATCTGGCAATCTTCAGACAGATGTGTGTGGCACAATCCAAGCTGCAGCGCCCTTCCTAGGCAGGTAGCTCATTCTTCCACAACAGGTGTGCTGTTGGGGGACTTCTCACAGCCTGAGAACCCCTGTTGTGTAAGGACGCAAGAGCTGAGTGCATACACAAATTTATGTAAGAATTCTAATCAGTGTCAGAAGGCAGTTCCAAAGTACACACCAGAAATAATTTTCCTTAATATGAACTGCAAGATAAATGAGTAATGCAAGCATATTAATGCAAAATTTGTCAAACACAAAAATCAGTTACATCTGTTCTGAGAATTCCAAATCCTATTTCATCCACCTTTTCCTTCCTGGGTCTTCCTTTGTTGGCATCCACACTCCTGCGACTTGAATGTCTTCCCTGCATAAATGATAAAACAGCTAAATAGCATTTGCTATTGTCACATGATCACTTCTGGTGCAGTTGGCATGTAGGAATATGTTCCCCGTGCAGACAGTGGGATACAGCCATGTACTGACTCTGTTAGGCCCCTGAGAATTATGTGTCTGGTGCACAGCAAACACTCCACGCGAGTCACAGTCCCCAGTGTAAAATAAGGGCAGAAGTGCAGAGGTGTGGCATCCTTAGATGATTGTTCTCTTAGCCACAGAGACAATAACAGGGTCGGAACAAAGACAGCCTAACAGCCCGTCTCACAAAGCCCAACTGTGGCCTGCCTCTTTGGACTCTCTTCCTTCTGCGACCACGAGTTTTCAGGATTGCTCCTGGCCAGTACCACCTCTGACGTGAAGTCATTCTCCAACCAGATTACAAACTGAAAAACCTGTGGCAAGGGCATCGAGGGAAGGGTTAACAGGAAGTCTCTACTTCACAAGACTCACCCTGGTCTAATCTGGGGGTGAGGAGAGGTCAGAAAAAACAGCACCACTTCCCCGTGGTTCTTCCTCCTTTTTGCTCC